GGCGACCCGATTAGTCTCACCCTTGATGTGCTCAGTGGTGAAACTAAACTCGGATAGGTCGCGCCACCAGCGAGCCTGTCGAGGAGTGAGCTTCGGCTTTGTCAGAAAAGCCTGGACAACAGAGTTGTCCGTGCGCACCGTGAATGGTGCCCTGTGCAGGTAGTGACGCCAGTGCCGAGCGGCATAAACTACTGCGAGAACCTCACGTTCATCAGCAGTGTAGTTTATCTCGGTGTCAGGAGCTGACGGGAGTAGAAGGCTATCGGACAATCACCTGAGCGAGACTCGACAGTGCCGTTCTCGGCGATGGTAGGAGAATAGTCAATAGAAGGCTCGTCAGTAGCTGGACGAGTAGGCGTCAGTCGGGAAGCAGTGGTAGGGGTAGGTGGTGGGAAGCGAGGGATACGAGGATGAGAGGAATCAGGAGATGAGGGGGAGACCTGAGAAAGCACTGCTCCTACAGCGAAGTCTGACGCATCGGTGTTAAGGATAAAAGGGCGGTCAAAATCGGGTAGGTGAAGAACCGGTGCGCATGTTACCGCCTTCTTGAGGGCGCTGAAGGCGTCCTCGTGGAGGGGTGTCCAAGCCCAGGGTGGGTTCTCCGAAGGAGGGTGGAGGTAAGGACGTAGGAATACCTAGCGTATCCCCGGATGAAGTTACTATAGTAGCTGGTCAGGCCTAGGAAGCTGCGAAGCTGCTTGGCGGATGTGGGAGCGGGCCACTCCGCAATAGCAGTGATCTTCGCGTCGTCCATGTGGAGACCCTGGTCAGACACGTAGTGTCCTAAGAAATCCACTTTGTGCTGGGCAAAGCGGCACTTGCTTCGCTTGGCGTAGAAGCCATGTCTGCGCAAGCGGTCAAGGACGTCGCGGAGGTGTCTGAGGTGTTCCTTAAGGGTACGACTATAGACCAGGATATCGTCGAGGTAGACGAGAACGTACTGCTCCGAGATGTCCCTGAAGATGTCGTTCATCGCCCTCCGGAAGGTAGCGGGTGCGTTGGTGAGACCGAATGGCATCACCGTGAACTCGTAGTGGCCGAATCGCGATCGGAACGCGGTCTTCGGCTGGTCGGTTGCAGCGACGCGGATCTGATGGTAACCGCTACGAAGATCAATCTTCGTAAAGAAGCGGTTGCCTGCTAGGCGATCAAATAGCTCATTGGAACGAGGCATGGGGTAACTGTTCTTAACCGTGTAGCGGTTGAGGCCGCGGTAGTCGATGCAGAGACGAAGAGTTCCATCCGCTTTGCGAGCAAAGAGGACGGGTGCACCCCACGGGGAGTTGCTGGGTTTAATGAAACCCAGTCTCAGGAGCTCCTCAAGCTGACGCTTGAGTTCGGTGGCCTCGGGGATCGAGAGTCCGTAGGGTGCCTGGTGGTGAACACGATAGTCAGGCACGAACAGAATGGAGTGCTCGACGTCACGCATCGGTGCGATGCCGGCGTACGAGAACGACGATAGGAAAACGTCGTGGTACTCTCGGATGAGGTCACGAACTGCGGGCTCCAAGTCAGCCGTATATCGTGCGAGTTCCTCAGTGTCAGCGTCAGTGCGCGACGGCGGGGTGGACTCGACGGACGGCGGAGGGACGAAAGTAGAGATGGGAGCCATGGAGATAGAGGGAGGATCTGACTCCAGAGGGATGAGCTCGGCGTCGGGACAGGGTGGATCATAGTG